TATTGTATATACAATATATTACACAATAATATTACATATTACTTTGGATACGTGAAACTAAAAATACGATTTAAGCGCTATTTAATCCAGTCATTTTTATTAACGACGCATCGATAGAACGTCGACGAATGCGGGCGGTATTTCGTAGAAACAGCGACATAAATTTCCGACACGTTATTTCACTCTCGGCGCGACAAATGTTGATGTCGCGTGATCAAAAAAGAAAAAGAAAAAAAAAATATCATACCCGGTTACGCTCCTTTGTGACGGGAACAAAAGTATGTTTTTATTAACGCCGTGAAATTATGGAACAGAAAGAAGAAACAGCGTGAGAACGCAAATTCAATTATCATTGTTCGACAGCTGAAACGCGCGTGTTCGCGCGCGGCGCTAATGTTGCACTGTGAAATATTTTGCGAGCGCGTTCGCGTACGTGTGTGTTCTCTCGTTTATATCGGTGTGTCTCTTTGTGCGGAATTCAAATCGCGCCACTTGTTGTAAAACGATGACAAAAATCCGGGCGACGGCGCGGCGCGGCGGCCGAAAAGTCTTCCCGGGATATTTTGTTGTTGTTTCTCGAACAGCGAAATCGAAAATTTTGCATCGTCGATTTTTTTTTGACGCGACGACGTTCGACGAATTCAAGGATGCGGCGCGTTGCACTTTTGTTTTCTCGATGGAACGCAGCGTGCAGATTCCCGCGTTAATCTTCCGCGACGAGAAAGCGAATCTCGTCAAAGGCGTTTCGCATGATAAAATGCGCGACAGCTCGTACCATTAGCGAATTAAAACGTAAAATGACATCGGTCTCTTTACACGTTCTTCTTCGACTTGCTTTAACGTCGCTATTTTTAGATTAAAGTTGTTCTCTCCTCGTCCAAAGTCACGAGTCTACGTGGCTGTTCCGCGAATAAGAAAAATATAAACGCGATACTGTTCTCTCCGGGTGGTAAAAGTTCTCTCGCGTTCGTAAAGATGCGCAGATGATGTGACGTTTTCTTTGAATTGTTTTCCCTTTTTGCTGCGCGCCGTTTAATCGTTTGCGTTCTCTGTTGGTCGAGCTGCTCGTCGATTCGGAAAGAAAGACGTTCGCGTGATATGTATTTTATGCGACTTAATATAGTCCAATTTCAATTTTAGTTGCAATTTCAATTTCAATTCCAATACAATTTCAATTTTAATTTCAATTTTAATTTCAATTTCAGTTTCAATTCCAATTCCAATTTCAATTTCAATTTCAATTTCAATTCTAATTTCAATTTCAGTTTCAATTCCAATTTCAATTTTAATTTCAATTTTAATTTCAATTTTAATTTCAATTCTAATTTCAATTTTAATTCCAATTCCAATTTCAATTTCAATTTCAATTCCAATTTTAATTTCAATTTCAATTTCAATTTCAATTCCAATTGCAACTTCCATTTCAATTTCAATTGCATTAAATATATTACTTTAATTGCATGAAATATGTGAGATTGTTGATACAACAGACAGTGTTAAATGTTGTCATTATGATTACTATTCTTTCACTGTATTTTCTCACGATGCAGCTACACTCTGTTCTGAATGTTTTATGAAGAATTACACAAATGTCGAATCTTTCAGAATACATTTTTATTTGAACAATTTTACACATCGTCAACGTTTTCACTTGATTTTAATTCGTTCGCTATTCCATGTTTCCATGTTTCTACGTTTTCCATAAATTTATTGCGCAAAATCTAGTTATCAAATACAATCACAGTGCGCAAAATCGAGCGACGACGACTCCGAAATCGTTTTGAGCGCGCGTCTAAATAACAACCGGAGAACGAGGAAGGTGTCTGAACGAAAGGTGCGGCAAAGCCGGTGCGAAATATAAGACTCGACGGGCGGCTCAGCCGCGGCTGTTAAGTATGTTAGCTTAAATCATGTGTTGAGAATTTCACGGTCGAGGAATTGCAGGATGGAATTACTCTTTGCGGATTACACGTAGCTGCGTTTCGGAGGCCGTAACGGGTTGAAACACAATGTCTGCCGGTTTTGTAATGACACGTGGCGTGTCGCGATAATGGGACTCGCGAGCCGAGAAAGCGGTCGGGACGCGGAAAAAAACATAAATTGCTGGCGCGAAACGGGTTTCTCTTGGACCGATGCTTTTTTTCGGAGGGAGCGTAACGCCGGTGGACGAAATTATGAGACGCGCCTGGGAGACGATTAGTGTGGGAACCTAATTTAATGCTTACGTTAATATGCGTTCCGCGTCGACCAAAATAGTTTGTTGCT